ACATCAGTGGGGAAAACGGACCTAGTGCCTCAAACATCAGTGGGGAAAACGGACCTAGTGTTTCAAATATCAGTGGGGAAAATGGACCTAGTGCTTCAAACATCAGTGGGGAAAACGGACCTAGTGCTTCAAACATCAGTGGGGAAAATGGACCTAGTGCTTCAAATATCAGTGGGGAAAATGGACCTAGTGCTTCAAACATCAGTGGGGAAAACGGACCTAGTGCCTCAAACATCAGCGGGGAAAATGGACCTAGTGCCTCAAACATCAGTGGGGAAAATGAACCCAGTATTATAAATATCAAAGGGGAAAATCGTCTTTGTGCTTCAAAGAGCAATAGGGAAAATGGACCTAGTGCTTCAAACATCAATGGGGAAAATGGACCACCTTGTCTTTCCAACTTTGGGGAAAGGACAACTCTTTTGGACACTGACAGTAACACAGGTAGTGATTTCCTGGTGAAACGGGAAAGTCCAGCACGTGTTGTAAGTGGTGTTAGTTTCGGTGAATCTCTTCTGGCTTCTGACAGCACTCAGAAGGATTGTAGTTCAGGAAGCTTCATGATGTGCTCCTCCTCCTCCAATGCCCCGGGAAAAGTGCGGGTCCACATGTGTTCCCTATGCCATCTGGTCCTGCTACAGAAGGAGGATATGGTTCACCATCTCAGCTGCCACAAATCTTACATCTGTTTGTGTTCCGTCTGACTTTGCATCCTTCATGTGCCACGCCCAGAAGGAACACAAGATGTGTGCGTCAGACCAGAACCCTGTGTTTGTCAACCTTCTCGGACCCATTTGCCACTAAGCTTGATTACATGCTGCATCTGAAGAGAGAACATCCGAAGAAAGGCCAGCCAACGCAGATGGCTGTGAGTTCACAGAAAACATCGCCCATGGTCAGGTGTGAGGATTGTGGGATCAAATTCAACAACATGGCGGGTCTGAAGGTGCACCAGCGGCTGTATCAGGGGACGTTTAAATGTACTCATCGGCAAGACCAAGTGCGTGCAGAGATTACAAGGGTAAGATCAGTGTTGTCAGTCATAGATAAGATGGAACGTCCTTTAATAGACTAGGACCGATTGTGGATATATGTAATGCAAGAGACATTTTTTAGTAGGATTTGGTATACAGGCTATTTTAACTATTTAGAGGGTGCTGATGACGAAACATTAGGATACCAAGCTAAAAAAGGTGTTTTTGACCATCAAAATTGAAAATCAAAATGGGTGCCAACATCGCCTAATATAATTGTAGGTGTGCACATGTTTTCGCCCGTGACTGTATCTCTATTTCATAATTTTTTTTAAGCTTGACTTTTTAAGACATTTATAGAGTGCTGATCATGAATAAATAGGATTCTAAGCTGATAGATGCTTTTGGATCAGTGTTCTCAGTCATAAATAAGATGTTAGGGATTGTCCTCCAATGAGTAACTTTGAATTCTCTGTCCACCAGACTTATTTTCTTCAGCAAACTTGGTGGGTGGTTTTAATGATATTGCTAATTTTCATAGCATCTGTTAAAATCAAATATTTGTGCTTGCTGAAATGATAGAGTGAGTGAGTGAGGTTAGTTCTACGCCACTGTTAGCAATATTCCAGCAAGATCACGGCAGCGGACACCAGAAATGGGCTTCACACATTCTACCCACGTATGGAATCGAACCCTGGTCTTCGGCATGACAAGCAACTTTAACCACAAGGCTACCCTACCGAAATGATAGAGCCTCATGATTCAAAGTAGTTTATGTATTTTTATCACAAGTTGTTGTTTGTTTGATGATTGTTTTAAAATATATGATGTTGATAAAGACTAGCTTTGTGATATTTGCTTCATTTCCAAAGTGAAATATTGTGGAACAAACGCCAGCTATTGCTTAAGATTCATCTCTTTTTCTGAAAGAGTTGTTTGTATCATCCCTGTTTGACTTGACTTAGTTTGACTCAGGCTCAGTATTATTCGTTACCCTGCCATACTGAGTCTAACAAACCCTAGTAGAAGGGCACGTCAGCTAAACATGACTGTCAAATCCAACTCGAGACTGATGGACGGATCTAACCAATCAGACAACGGCAACTATTTAAGGTTCGGCATGTCTGATGAAATTGCCAGTGCGCTTGAAAAAGTTCTTCCACATAAAACAGATATTCGACCTGCAATATATACGCTTAGGGGTTTCTGATGACATGGCTAATATTAACATGATTAGCTTATATTTCCGCAAGATGACATTTTGGAATATTGACAAAAACGCTATTATCAGCAACTGTTTACTCCCTGTTGTGAATAATGGCATCTTCGATTTAGAAGCGATTGTACAGAAAATAGCATTATAAAACGCTCGATTACAAACATTTTCGAGGTAAAAGTTCAAACAGTATTGGCGAATGGGGGCGGGGGCGGGTTAATAAAATGGACTCCGTTCGGGCGTGCGTCCGTCCGTGCACATTTGTCTTTTCCGGAGCAGAACTCTAAAACCGTTCACTATTTCTTCACCAAACTTGGCACATGGATAGATCTGGTGGTGTACTGGTGCCTTTTGGTAGTTTTGGAATTCTGAATAAAATATTGTTGGCTTTTCCGTGGCAACAAGTTTCACTTAGCCTGAAATTGGTGGTAGTGCTCTTTTCCGGAGCAGAACTCTAAAACCGTTCACTATTTCTTCACCAAACTTGACACATAAATTGGTCTAGTGGTGTACTGGTTCCTTTTTGGTAGTTTTGGAATTCTGAATAAAATATTTTTGGCATTTCCATGGCAACAAGTTTGACTAAAACAGAAATTAGTGGTAGTGCACTTTTCCGGAGCAGAACTCTAAAACCGTTCAATGTTTCTTCACCAAACTTGGCACATACATAGATCTGGTGGTGCACTGGTGCCTTTTGCCTTCCACTTTTCTATGTACACACCTCAATATTTGACAGAATCATAACTCGTAGACATAATCATGAATAGTATTTTGCCATTGCGGGGGATATTGATGACTTTGTCTTGTTTTTTATGTTTATCAAGTGTTTCTATTATGGTATGCTGTGTTTCCGGACATTTGGTTCCCTAATTTGTTGTGTTTTTTAGCTATTTACAAATAAACTCACTTTACTTCCAAAATGATTTAAAAACATGCAAAAAGCATGCTTATCCACCCACAGTCTCTGCATTTGTGGTCAGTAAGAGCTTTAGATGAAGGTTAGTTAGTTTGTTGTGTAGCACCGTACTCAATAATATTCCAGCTATATGGCAGCAGTCTGTAAATAATCGGGTCTGGACCAGACAATCCAGTGATCAACAGCATGAGCATCGATCTATCCACCTGGGATACGAGTGAGTGAGTTTAGTTTTACGCCTCACTCAGCAATATCCCAGCTATATGGCGGAGGGCTGTAAATAATCAAGTCTGGACCAGACAATCCAGTGATCAACAGCATGAGCATCGATCTGCACAATTTGGTAACCGATGACATCTGTCAACCAAGTCAGCGAAACTGACCACCCGATCCCGTTAGTCGCCTCTTACGACAAGATAGTCGCCTTTTATGGCTAGCGGATGGGTTGCTGAAGACCTATTCTACCCCGGATCTTCACGGGTCACCTGGGATACAATGACATGACACATTTTCAGTGTATGAAACTCCTAAATACTCAGGAAGCACACATGGCTGATAACTAAAACATGTTGCTGGCCCTATTAACATGTAACCAGTCCTGTGTTAAAAATAGGAACCTGAGATAAGGTGTTAAAATAATGTAATCAATGAATAAATAAATATTGGAAGAAGTGTGATTGTTTCAACATTGTTCATTAGCTGAAAGCATTCTCTAGACCAATCACATTTAGTGTTAGATAAATAGGTAGGCTGATCTGTGGAAGTTATGGTTTGGTTGGGGGCGGTGGGGTAGCCTAGAGGTTAAAGCGTTGGCTCGTCACGCCGAAGACCCGGGTTCGAATCCCCACATGAGTACAATGTGTGAAGCCCATTTCTGGTGTCCCCCGCCATGATGTTGCTGGAATATTGCTAAAAGCAGTGTAAAAACAAACTCAGTCAGTCAGCATGGTTTGATTGATCATGACCTATACAGGCGTCGTCTAGCTACCACAATTGTAAATTATTTTCGAAATATTTCCCATAGTCAATGAGATAGTCAAATATATATCCTTGGAAAATGTATTGGCCCATAGGGCTGGCTATAAAATAAAGTTGTAATCCCGCCATTTAACTAGCAAGCAGCGGGCCGCCGGGCAGACGCTATTTCATACACTGACATTGTGTCAACCAAGTCAGCGAGCATGACAACCAACTCCTGATGTCACCTTATTAAGATATATGAATCACAATTAAACATTCTTGTGATGTAGTGTTATTGGTCGTTAAAGAAGGAACAGCTTTAGACCGAAGGCGGGGAACATCCTTACACTGGAGTTAGTGATACACTATTACAGAAAGTTCAGAAAACACAACATTTTGTCAAAATGTGTGAAAAATACAGCACAATTACAGACCATTTGATTCCATTTGAGACCGATGAAATGGTCACTGACACACAATCTAATAAAGGCAACTAAAACCGAATTTTGCACAGTGACATGAAATTGACAGACCAACTCTGATGATTTGTTACATAATTTTGGACACAGGAATAAAAAAAGTTGTTTAACAAATGAGCTATTTGTTACGAGGAGGTGGGGTGGGGGACCACTTGTTGGTAGAACAGCTAGGTAATCAACAAGCATGTGTAGTGAAATTTCAATTTCACATGTGGAGCTTGCGCACCTGTGAAGCACATTTCTGGTGCCCCGTGCTGTGATATTGCTGGAATATTGCTAAAAGCCACGTAAAACTTAACTCACTCACTCACTCAAGTGATCCTTGTAAGTTATTCACATCAGTTATTCATTTAAGCCATCAATTACATAGAATATCTAGGTCTCCTGACAGCTAGTTTAAATCCTAATAGATTTGGTAGTTTTTCTACCTGCAATGGTTTGGTTTGTGTGTTTCAGGGAACCAAGGACAGTGTTATATTGGCATCAAAGAATGACAGTCAATCTGTGGAAATGGTAAGTGAGTGAGTGAGTGTGGTTTTACGCTTTTAGCAACTTTCCAGCAATGAGACTTGGATACAGTTTTCAATGTTAAGATGTTTTACTACTAGACCTGGTCTAGTGGGTCTTAACATTTACTAGACCTGACTTAATGTCAACTAGACCATACTGTTGGAAGACAAAACAAGGTTATTCTTGTTATCAGCAGGTTTATAACAAACTTTATTATATAGGTAGTATTTTTCCTGTACCACGATTAGTCAAAATACCGTCACATGATTGACTACAAAACACGATATTGACTTGAGTTTTCTGATAAATTACGATATTGACTTGGGTTACTAGAAATAGACAAGGAATCCCGTAAGAAGGGGCTTCCCCCGCTTTTCAGCCAATCAGATCACTCGGATAGATGGCACAATGTGTGCATTAAAAGTTTATGTTAAAACCCGTTTCTCTTTCATTCTATAATAAAACAATTATAGACTCTTGTAGAGGTCGATATCGGTTTTTATAAGGTCAATGAAAACCGATATCGACCTCTACAAGAGTCTTTAATTGTATAATATTCAACACAAAACTGTGTGATATTTTATGTTTTCTTTTGTTCATTATGAATACTGTATTCCTGAGCGTTTGATTTCTCTGAAGGACGTTTTTCATTTAAGAGTAGCTTTTATAATCTTTTTGCTCTTTAATAAGCTTGATAACAGTTTCTAAAATGCTCATAATAGATGATGCTGTACAAGATTTTTAAGAAGAAAATGAACAAATACGGTGATTTGAAACATCGTTCATTAAATATCTACACAACTAGTTGGACGCACCAGACACGATACCTATTTTCACGGCATTATTGTGTAAATTTACATTTTAACATTAATATTACATATTTCACAATTGTCCATGAAAAGATCAACATTTTCTATTCTTAGAGATTAAAAAGTTCTAATTTCCCACCTTTGTGCATGAAAAATAATCACTTACAACCTTCCCAGCATTAAAAAACATGATACAATTGCAAAATGTAAACGATACCTAAACATATTTAAACTGATACTTTCCAAACTAAATATCGATGCAGTTTTGAATGTATCGATAATTGTATAGTCTCAGAAAAAGTATCGATGTATCGTGGCATCCCTACTAAAGTTGAGCACCGTTGTGTTGAACTCTGATAACTCGATATCTCGGTTGTCCCGATATAACATCTCGGTCCCAGCAAAATCATTCATAATTTATCATTATTCAAGCTCTTTTAACTTGATATGGATGTCGTGATATTTCGGATATCTCGATAAAATGTAATGGTCCCAACAAGCAAAATTACCCTTTTGACTCTATATTTGCAAAGAAACTTGATAATCACTTACCTTTCATGGGCAAGCATCCCACTGAACTGAGGTAGTTTACAGACGTTTACAAACGGTGTGGCATGAATCAAAAGGATGCGGTAGAGTAAACTAATGGGGGCTAATTGAGTTAAAGGTGTCACTTGTTTGTTATTCAATTAGGATTAATTAAGAAGGAATTAATTAGGAAGTACTCATTGTTATGACTAAACACTACTGATAACGGATTATTGTTTGAATCTAAACATACTGCGAATCCAATGAGGGTTTTGTGTAATCACGTGACTAACATGTGATTGTTGAGTGAGTTGTTTCTAAATTGCGGAATTGTTTACTTTCATAGTGATATGTGATGGTATGCTCTGGTTTGATGTCTCGAAGTTCGGATAACTCGATATATTTTCTTGGTCCCATGTATATCGAGACAACGGTGCTCAACTGTATTTACAAGACAGTGTCGTTCGGACGTGCCTTAATGTTGAACCCTGTATTTAAAAATGGAAATAGTTTTGATAGTTTTTCCACCTGCAATGGTTTGGTTGTGTGTTTCAGGGAACCAAGGACACTGCTATGTTGGCATCAAAGAATGACAGTCAATCTGTGGCAATGGTTAGTGAGTGAGTGAGTGTGGTTTTACGCTGCTTTTAGCAATATTCCAGCAATATCACAGTGAGGGACACCAGAAATGGGCTTCACACATTGTGCCCATGTGGGTGAAATCGAACCCGGGTCGTCAGCATGACGAGTGGACACTTTTACCATTAGGCTACCCCACCCCCAGGAAATGGTAAGGACAGGGATGGTGGGTCAGCGGAAGGAGTGTCTGCTGTATGTCTGGTCTCGCCTGTATTTGAGACTTGGATACAGTTTTCGATGTTAAAATGTTTTTACTACTAGGCCCTGGTCTAGTGGATCTTAACATTTACTTCATTAAAGAGTAGCTTTTATAGTTGTTTACACATAAATAAGATTGATAACAGTCTCTATTATGCTCACTATAATAGATGATGTTGTCAAGATTTTTATGAACAAAAGTAGATGGAACAGTGAAACAAATGTGCGTGCGGTACATGATGAGCGTTAACCAACACTACTTGTTCTCAATGTTTCATTTAAAGTGCATACCCCCTTGTAATACAAACCAATAATAGCGATTTGAAAATACAATCGTTTATTAAACTACTTTTATCTTAAGTTGAATAAAATTCTGAGATTTGAATGTTCAATTGGCAGGGTAAAATTATGAGGATTCGCAATCTTAATTTCACTTTATTTGAGTTGCCTTTTTGTTTAGAGTGAAATTCATCGGTACGTTTTCACTGCAGACAAACTATAGACAATGTTCTTCAGAGGTACCTTAATGTCAAACCCTGTATTTCAAATGGAAATAGGTTTGATAGTTTTTCTACCTGCAATGGTTTGGTTTGTGTGTTTCAGTGAACCAAGGACAGTGCTATGTTGGCATCAAAGAATGACAGTCAATCTGTCGAAATGGTAAGTGAGTGAGTGTGTGAGTGTGTGAGTGAGTACTGAGTGTGGTTTTACGTTGCTTTTAGCAATATTCCAGCAGTATCACAGCAAGGGACACCAGAAATGGGCTTCACACATTGTACCCATGTGGGTGAAGTCAAACCCTGGTCTTCAGCATGACGAGTGGACACTTTTACCATTAGAACAGGGAGGGTGGGTCAGTGGAAAGAGTGTCTGGTGTATGTCTGGTCTGGCCTGGCCTGTATTTGAGACTTGGACAGTCAGCTGATTTTTGAGAAATTCAATGTGTTACATAGCTGGAATGTCACTGAGTGTGGTTTTACGTTGCTTTTAGCAATATTCCAGCAGTATCACAGCAAGGGACACCAGAAATGAGCTTCACACATTGTACCCATGTGGGTGAAGTCAAACCCTGGTCTTCAGCATGACGAGTGGACACTTTTACCATTAGAACAGGGAGGGTGGGTCAGTGGAGGGAGTGTCTGCTGTATGTCTGGCCTGGCCTGTATTTGAGACTTGGACAATCAGCTGATTTTTGTGAAATTCAATGTGTTACATAGCTGGAATGTCACTGAGTGTGGCATTTAATGACAACAGACACAACATAAAGGGAGACAACTCTTGAAACATTGTTTATTCATTCTTAGACAAAATTGTTGAGAGGTAGGGTGTTTGTTAAGATGGATGGACATATTGTTTTTGATCCAACATGAGTGAGTGAGTGAGTGAGTTAAACTTTACGTCACAAGGACAATATGTTTGAAGGTACGCCACTTTCAAAGATGGCTGAAGTCTGCACAGCTACAATGCCACTAAGAGCGCTACAAACACTTTCTGTTGGTAACAAATGATTCACATTCAGCAAGAATGTTTGCAAGGATGAACCTTGATGAACATAATAAAAATGGATGAACATGGCGTATTGTTTCAAGTAAAGATGAAGATTGTTCTTCATCTGTCTTTTTGTCAAAATGATGCTATACATCTTTTACTGAAATTGACCTGAGTTGGGTAAAATATAATAATTCAATCAGATCTTAATTATAACTTATACAGCATGAACTGCTAATGTACATATCTTCTTCTCAATTTGGGACATTTCACATTTTCACATTTTCTTTCAGGGTATTCCCATTTCAGACATTGAAGTAGGAACTGCAGTCAAACATGATCTGAATCCTGATTCTACATCTGAGTCACAATGCAGAAGAAAATTGACACTTGCACAAAGACCTGCGAGGTGTATGTGATAGGCAGTGATGGTAAAACTGTTATCAAGACAGAATCTGGAGCAGAAAACACTGTTGTTGCCAGTGATTCATTCATTATTACAAGGAACGATGACGACGGTGGTGATGATGATGATGATGATGGCGACGACGACGACGACGATGATGATGGAGAAAAGGATGCGGATGGCAGTAGACATAATACCATAGAGTCAGATCCAGGTGGACATGGCGTTGTAAACCCATCTGAGATCATCATGCCTGGTTTTGGCTTCATGGGAAGTGACGCAACCAAATGGACAATGATGGTTCCCATGGTTACCGTTAAGAAAGAACCGGAGGAATGTATGGAGAGTGTGCACGGATGTCAGTCTGTGTTAGGTGGCAGGGACACTGACGAAGATGTCAAGACAGAAGTAAAGGTTGAACCTGCAGATCCAGAAACAGGAATCACATTAATGGCGAATGGTGTAGAGCCTGAATGGATGCTGGCAATGAGCTGTGGGGATGGAGGTGATGAGTTGGACAGTGTACAGGTGAAGCAGGAACCTGTTAGTGATGAGGAACTCTCTCAGACCGCAGTTGGAAATATGGTGTACATTCACAAATCATCGCAGGATATATTTGATGAACATGAGAGACAACCACCTGAGACCCAATAACAGCTTGTAAGTCTTGGTACTGTAGGATCACTGAAACCTGTTATTGAAGAACAACAAGTACCACAGCAGTATTCTTTGACTGAAGAAAAATCAGTAAAACAACAACTTGTTGCAAAACTGAAAATAATACGACAACAGGGAGAACTGGCAAAACAGCAATCTGAAAAACAGCAACCTATAGCAAAACTGAAAACAGTTAAACAACAGCTTTTAGCAAAACGACAATTAGCAAAACATCAACGACTGGGGTTAATGCAAGAACCTGTGAAAGCAGAGCCACCAACTGAAAAGCTACAACCTAAGGAAAAAAAAACAACAGGAAACACCGCAGCCAGCAGTAGAACAATTTACCGCGAAACAACCATGGATCAAGATACAACCAAAACCCCAAACTGTGGAGTCAAGCTTGTCTGTGACCAATGAACAGTCTCTGGTTATGAGACACGAGCAGCCGAGGATACAGATCCTCGGCACAACAGCAACCGATGGTGAAACTGAAAGCCCTGGCTCAGCAGCAACCTGTGGTGAAACCTCAAGCAGTGACCCAACAACAACCGATGGTGAAACTGAAAACAGTGGCACCACAGCAACCAGTGGTGAAACATCAAGCAGCAAGACCACTGCAAATGATGGTGAAACTGAAAGCTGTGGAAAAACAACCAATCGTGAAACTGCAAGAAGCAACCCAACAGCAACCAATGGTGAAACTGCAAGCAGCACCACAACAGCAAATGATGGTGAAACTGAAAGCTGTGGAAAAACAACCGATGGTGAAACTGCAAGAAGCAACCCAACAGCAATCAGTGGTGAAACTTCAAGCAGAAACACAACAGCAAATGATGGTGAAACTGAAAGCTGTGGAAAAAGAACCAATGGTGAAACTGCAAGAAGCGACCCAACAGCGACCAAACAGTGGTGAAACTGAACAGTTTGGTACCTAAGCCTCAGACTGTGATAAAATTACAATCGCTGATACAACAGCAGACTGGGACAAAGCATAACCAATTGTTTATGTTTCATGTGGTGAAATGTCAAGGATCGCTGGAACAGGAAGTGGTCATGCCCAAGCTTGGACCACCTTCGCTGTATGAGTTTGGGATATGCAGCAATACATTTAAAAGCCCCGAAGCACTCATTGTTCATGTGAAAACCCACTCTAAGAAGATGCATCAGTTGAACAACCTAATTGGAGGCAGCTTGTCCTTCTCTATGAAAGTGGCTTTGGAACGTAAGAACGCTCTTCAATCCAGTTCTACGGACAAATCATATGGTTGTCCTATATGCAAGGACACTTTTCTGCAATCCTCGCAACTCTTAGGACATATGCAGACGCACCAAGTACAGAAACAGGGGAATGTCACGATGTGTATTGTCTGTGGCTCACAATTCAAGCAGGCCTCAAGCCTGCGTAAACACATGCACTGTCATATGCGGGAGTCTGGGAAGGGTTTGACGGAGCTGGTGGCCAAAGTGGACCCTGCGTTGATGCCAGTAGCAGAGGCTTATCCCTGTGAGCAGTGTGATTTGGTGTTCCGTTCCAAGAATCGGAAGGCTGTCCATGTTCGTTATGTTCATAAGCAAATGACACCGAACAAGTGTGTGCTTTGTGAGAAGAATTTTTATTCGCCATCGGAGTTGGAGCGACACATGAGGACACACACTGGGGAGAAGCCATTTGGATGTGATCAGTGTGGGAAAGCCTTTGCCCTTTCTACCACACTAAAGGATCATCTGCGATCCCACACTGGGGAGCGGCCATTTAAATGTTCTATATGTTTCAAAGCATATTCATCGCCATCGATACTTGGAAGATACAAGCTCACCCATGTTGGTGAACGAAAGTTTAAGTGTGACATCTGTGCTAAGAGCTTCCTGTATTCCAACTCACTCACAGTGCACATGAGGACTCACACAAGTGACCGTCCATTCACCTGTAACATCTGTGGAAAGACGTTCACAGCCTCATGTCACTATCGTGTTCACATGCGAATCCACACTGGGGAGAAACCTTACAAGTGTACATTCTGTGAAAAACAGTTCAACAACTATGGCAGCCATTACCGCCATGTCCGCACACATCAGGAGTGAAAGTTAAGCGGGGAGGAGGACGAGCAGGATGAGCAGGAGGACATTCCTGAGGTCTTGGAGGTCAAGCAGGAGGTCACATCCAACGACTCCGGAGATGAAGGTGATCTTGAGCGTAAGCTTGTTCCATTTATGCTGTCATCGGCTCTGAAAACCAACTTGTTGCAAACACAGGGAGTACCAGATAGATGCCAAGTTAAAGAAGCCAAACAGAAACCGAAACTTGTATCATTATTAGCTCCAAGGACAACAGTTGCTGATGGATCAACTGTTGTGTCTGCAGGGGCTGGGGCCTCAAAAACAGCAGTAGCCAGTGGTTCCAGTCTCTTGGCAGGAGCTCATGTGATGACCTCTGCTCTGCTCTGCCCGTCAAGGTGCTGAATCAAAGACCACATCTGCTCCAAGTACAGCAGTAGGTGATGGATCGATACTTGAGGACCAGAATGATCAAAAGACCTCAGTTCCGTTAAGCACACAGGATTCAAATCCTGATGCCCGCATGAATCCAGTCAAAGGCAGTCTGGGTAGTGTTATCCTTGAGTTAAGTGAACCTGTTAATTTTGGTAAAGCTGTGCATCCCTCACATAAGCAACACATCCAGAAGGCGGCAGTTTACACAAAGGTGATCACGACACAGCCTAACCAATTGCCCCCTAGTGAGTTGGCTCCACCTAGTGTGAATAAGAACCTGAAACGGCCATTGACAGGACCCACCACTTCTTCATGGAAGACGGACACTGTCAAAAGGAGGCAGACAGAAACTGGACCCATTCAGAACAAATCCCTGTCCACATCCAACACCATAACGCAGCTGCTGTTGTCTCAGACAAACAGTTGATACGAGGCGTATGTGCCAGGGGAGGGGGTAATACATGCTACACAGAGAATATTTCCTGTCTAACTTTGTGATGTTCTTATCCACAGACACTTCATCTGGGCAATATGTGTTGTGTATATGGGCAATATATACTATGCACACTTTGCTAAGGATCAAATCATGGATTCAACAGAAAAATATGATGTGGGATCAAATTTGGTTTAAATATCTAAGCTTATTGTGAACATGGATTTCAGTATGTCATTTAATCTTGTGGATCCCATACCTGCTATTGACAGGTGTGGCGTACTTGTCAATGACTCGTTCCATGATTTGCAAACTGGTTGATTGGTGCCATGAAAACCATTTTTATGGTTTCTCATGTACCAAGTGCATAAGGTTAGATTAAACTGACTGACTGAGTTTGGTTTTACGCCGCTTTTAGCAATAGTCCAGCAACATCACGGCGGGGGACACCAGAATTGGGCTTAACACATTGTGCCCATGTGGGGATTCGAACCCGGGTCTTCGGCGTGACGATCCAAGTTAGATTAAAGCGACTGTCTGCCTAAAGAGGGGTTACCATATACAGTCAAATCCCGATGAGTCGAATCGCTGGGGACCAAGTAAAAGATTCGGCTTATCGATGTATTCGAGACATAGGTATGTCTATAAGGGTAGAAAAAAAGATGATTCAATATTGAACAATTCCTTTATTCAGCACATCATATCTAAATACGTATAGCAAAACAATACATTAGGTGACATAGATAATGGATAATAATGGATAATGGAAACAAACATTATACAAATGAGAACACATTTCAATACTAGCATAATAAAATACAAAATACATTTACCTCTTAAAATCCATGAACAAAATCTATCGGCAATCGATAGATATACTTGTACATGCCGCCACCTTGAATCTTATTAATACAAAAAGATGAACTCGCTTCTGGAAAAAGTCTGACATTAATGTTTGTTTCTGTGAATTTCCCTTACATTTATCCAGTTACATTTATCCATTTTTAAATGGATACAATTGCAAATTATGAATCTATGTTTAAGTGAAGTTGTGAATGTTTGGGATCCTTAGCAAAGTGTGAGTAGTATATGTGGTTCCTTTGAATTAGACCTTTAAAGCTGTGATCAAGAGACTCTTGATATGGTGATTATGTGTATGGATGTATGTGATATAGACTTCTGTAAGAATATGTTGTGTGAAGCTTTGTGATACAGTAATCCACTGACAGTTCTGTGTTCTAGTGGAGTATGTATGTTAAACTGTGTCATTATGTGTCAGTGGGATAGGACTAAAAAACTAGCTTTATTTTGGACTTGCTGATCCATATAAGAAATATGACCATTTCTGTGCTCGGCTCTGGGTGCTCATTGGCCCAAGCACCTGCTGGTGTTCCTGTCAGAGGGGGTCGGTGGGGTAGCCTAGTGGCATTGGCTCGCCACGCCGAAGACCCGGGTTCGAATCCCCACATTGGTACATTGTGTGAAGCCCATTTCTGGTGTCCCCCGCTGTGAAGTTGCTGGAATATTGCTAAAAGCGACGTAAAACCAAACTCAGTCAGTCAGTCAGTCCTGTCAAGAGAAAGTATGGCTTGATTCATTGGTCGTGACTTCATTTGTAATGCAGTATACGTGTATAAGCTCCACACTGATGGAGGAACGTAGTACAACCAAATCTGTTATACATTGTTGATCCATCGAGCTTGTCGGCCATTTCTTAGCCAGACAGATACTCAATATTTCAAATCACAAATGTTGGAATATTGTGTACAACTGACCTCTTGCTGAGCAGATGTTTACTCTTGTTCAAAACATTGTAGATCCGTCAAGCTTGTTGGCCATTTTTTAGCCAGACAGTAACTCAGTATTTTTCAAATCACAACTGTTAGAATACTGTGTACCTCTTGCTAGTAGATCTTTAATTTTGTTCAAATCACAAACATTGGGATATGGGTTCAGGTGAGAGTATGTTTAGTTGTGTACTGCATCATTCATTGAGGTTTGTAGATAGATCCAGTTAGAGACTTGTGAACATCGAGCCTTACCCCAGACCAATTTTATTTCTTGTTTTACGGATCGTATTTTTTCAAGAATAAGAAAAAAAATAAGAACTCAACTCAAAAATGAAAATCCTAATGTTTTATTGGTCAAAAATGTAAACTTACAACAATTTGTTTTATTGTGTTTTGCCCCATATACACTTCATAAATTGCCAAAAGTAAAATACTTTTAGTATTTAAAAGGAATATTACTTTGACAGGTGATTTTTTTTTATTTTATATATTTTCCCTCCTGCCTTTAGGTTTTCTGAAGACAAAAATCCATAAAACAAGAAATAAAACTGGTCTGGCCTTACCATGAATTAAGATGACACAGATGTCACTGACATGATGGATCATGTTGTTGACTCCTACAAACATCGTCAGTTCCTTCTTAACCAGAAGGGGGCGGTGGGGTAGCCTAATGGTTCAAGCGTTGGCTCGTCACGCCGAAGACCTGGGTTCGAATCCCCACATGGGTACATTGTGTGAAGCCCATTTCTGGTGTCCCCCCGCCGTGATGTTGCTGGAATATTGCTAAAAGCGGCGTAAAAAACCAAACTCAGTCAGTCAGTCAGTCAGTCAGTCAGTCTTAACCAGAATCCTCTTGCACCCACAGGGCCGGTGGGGTAGCCTAATGGTTAAAGCATCCACTCGTCACGCCGATGACCTGGGTTCGATTCCCCACATGGGTACATTGTGTGAAGCCCATTTCTGGAATTCCCTGATGTGATGTTGCTGGAATATTGCTGAAAGCGGTGTAGACAATACTCACTAAGTCAAACTGTCGATGGACGGTTAAAGCGTTGGCCCGTCACGCCGAAAACCCGGGTTCGAATCCCCACATGGGTACAATGTGTGAAGCCCATTTTTCTGGTGTCCCCCGCCGTGATGTTGCTGAAATATTGCTAAAAGCGGCGTAAAACCAAAACTCAGTCAGTCAGTTTATGGATGACGACTTCTTTATTGTGAGGGTCACGACGTTTCGAGGTATGTTCTTACTCCTCCTTACTCCTTTCACCTGATGTGGGAGTAAGGACTTACTTCGAAACGTCGTGACCCTTCACAATAAAGAAGCTGTCATCCATAAAACTCTTGCCTTTATGTGTATCACTTCTAAATGCCCTTCAAAGACTCCAAGAATTTGCTTATTTTAAGAATGTGTTTCAAATGTTGATGAAGAATTTGCTTATTTGAAAATGTATGGGACCGTTCATAATAAATGGCTAGGGGGCGTGATGAGGATATAAGGGGGTCAGCCATTTTGTTCTGGAGAGGGGGCAGTTCATAAATTTTGTACACATGTACTAGTGGAGGTCAGCAATTTTGTGCATAAAAATATTTTAAAATTATGCTTAAAAATTATGGGAAGGTGGGGGGTCATTGATTGTTTTACATGACATTCAGAGGGGTCACTCATTCACATTGTACATTCTTCTCCATAAAAATCATCATCACCACCTCTAGCGATAAATTATGAACGGTCACTAATCAAGATCCTTATTAGCTGACTTTTGAATGTATTTCTGATATTAACTTGAAAATATTTCATCAGAAACCTGTGTTTAGGTTGATTATTGATGAGACAAATTTGTCTTTATTAAAAGATCCAAACTGAATGTAATTGAATAATCTTGTGTATTATTTAGTATTGTTATCCCAGTGGTATAAACATTTCCAGAGAAGAACTCCAAAACCATTAAATATTTTAGTGGGGTAGGCAAAGACCGGGTTCGATATCCCACGTGGGTACAATGTGTAAAGCCCATTTCTAGTGTCCCCAGACGTGATGTTGCTGGAGTATTACTAAATAGCATAAAACCATACTCACTCACACTTCTCGCTCAATCCATTCTGTGAAAGTGCCTGGCCGAACAACTATTTATAATTTGGTGTCATAAAACAGAAAATGTCTGCAATTGCACCTTATTGTGTATGTAAACGCAAGATTTCTTTACATTTATTTCAGTGTACAAATTCTTTCAAATTAAATTGTTTACTAAGTTGTGACAATTGGTTTTAAGTATTTTATCCATGGTGGTCCAATAATTAAAACAATTAATATCTAAAGTTCATTTCCATTTAAATCCTTATCAGTCAAAAGTGTAAACAATGTGGCCCAGTAAATTTCCGTTATCCTGTGGCCTTCACCTTCATGTGTGATGTCAAAGTTCACAGGTCACATCATGACCTCTTCAAAGCTCATGCATTTTGGAGCACATGCTTGCCAGTGTGTATTGGACCTCCATCCTGCCTGGTTGTCACCCAGCTGACTGTAAGCTGAACTATGTAAAGACACATATGTGAGTACATTACCATTTCACTGCTAGGTTGTACTATCTCAAAATTACAATGAAATTGTATAGATGCCAAAATGTTAATTGGTTGTGCAAAAATTGTTAATATATTTCACACAATTATTTGTAAATTTGTAGTTGTTACTTTTGCAATTTCAATGTATTCACATATCATTCGAATGAAACATTGAATGTTATGTGCTATGAAATTTGTACATTTTGTGAATTTCATCGAAAGCTATTGTTTGTTGTAGTTTTCTGAACCTCGTCAGCTCATCAGCAACTTTACTCTTCAAGTGAACGCAATAGGATTCATCAAGTCCTCAGCAGCAGCCATTTATTATGAACTCTAACTCCTTAAATATCAATACATTAAACCCTGTTGCTGCGAGTATCAGTTTTTGTGTTCTGCATTAACAGTGTATTTATTGTGTATATGTAGTTTCTGAGACTCTAAAAGAGTTTGAAGGTGAGTTTGGTTAAACCTCTTTGCTATCTTTTCCTTATTGCTTTCTTACCTTTTAAACATGTTCATGCATATTGCGTTCACATTCTTTAACAAAAGCAGCACTTTACATAGTTTTACACTAAGGGACTGTTCATAATTTATGGCTGGAGGGGTGGTGATGATTTTTATGGAGGAGCATGTACAAAGTAAGTGACCCCCCCCTGCATGTCATGTACAAAATCCATGACCCCTCCTTCCCATATTTTTAAAGCATAATTTTGAAATATTTTTATGTAAAAAATTGCTCCCCCCCCCTCTAGAACATGTGTATCAAATTGATGACCCCCCAGTACCTCCCAAGAACAAAATGGGTGACCCTCCCTTAAAATCATCATCATTTCCCCCCCCCTTCCCCCCAGCCATAAATTATGAACGCTCCCTAAAGTCAGTCCTTAATATGTTGGAATTTGAACCACTGTGGCTGAGAACATTAAAACGCAGATTTAGAAATTTGGCAGCTGTGATTGGATAATATTGTGTAAGGTTTTTGCGCTTATTTGCTGTACATTCCTCTAGTAACTAAATCTGTTTTTTTTAACGTGATATTTAGTCCTTTGTAACAGCTGACTTTACCTGTTGCATGGGGGCTCTCATGAAGACAAGGGAGGCAACTAAGTAAGTTATTTATCAGATTACCTCCCCCTTACCCACTGTACAAGTTACTCAAAACCAAATATTTTCCCATGGACTTCTATAGTAACAGTGTGCAAAATAGTTTCCGAATTTGGGGCTAGCTATGCCTGAAAGTTACTAGCCCACAAAATATTTCACTAGCCCGTAATTGGAATGTGGTCATGAACATTTTAACCAGGCCATAACCTTGCATGACTTAAAAGTGTATAACTTAACAAGTCAGAGAAAGGGATATATTGACAAAATGATTCCATGAAAATTCAGCCAGTCATGCCAGTGACTTGAGATTTACTGGCAAGACTGGATTTTTACTAGCCACAGGCTAGTGGGCCAGTGGCTATTCCGCACACTGTATAATAATGGTATATTTTTTAAACAAATAACCATTTTCATCTGTGCATAGTCTGGCCTTAAAGCAGAAATAAAAATAAATAAATGACTACCTTGGTTTGTTGGTTTGTACACCATACTCCGCAATATTCCAGCTGTATGGCGGCGGTCTGAAACTAATTGAGTCTGGAGCATGTGCATCAATCTATGCTGTTGGGATACGGTGACATGTGTCAACCAAGTCAGTCTAAACAGCCGATCCCGTTAGTCGCCATGACAAGTGCGGTTGCTGAAGACCAGTTCTAACCCAGATCCTCACAGGTAAATGACTACCCCAACCAGTTACTTTTCCAATTGCACTTGCACAAGTCTCAAAGGTAGTAATTAATAGTTTAAATGACAATTCCTAAGATAATATAAATAAACTGACACATTGTCCCCCTCACAGGCTGCATCCTTACTGTCTGTTTATTTTGACTTACCCTAAAGGATAGAATTACTCTTTAATCCATGGGTTTAGCATTCAGTGCAGCCAAGTACAAGACGCTTAACAGACCAGCGCCACTTTGGCACAAAATGTCACCAACTTGAAAACCAGTGGTCACATTCAGTGTAAGTTATCATCTTTGAGAAGACAGCAGTAAATATAGAAAAATATGTTCAGCATTAACTACTGGATGAGGGGCAGCGGGGTAGCCTAGTGGTTAAAGCGTTGGCTCGTCACGCCGAAGACCCGGGTTCGAATCCCGACATGGGCATATTGTGTGAAGCCAATTTCTGGTGTCCCCCGCCGTGATATTGCTGGAATATTGCTAAAAGCGGCGTAAAACCAAACTCACTCACTAACTGCTGGATGGATGTACACTTAAAATCCCCCACAAAAATCTTACACAAAATGTTCCAATCACAGCTGCCAGATCATTCAGTCTTCAGTGATGTGCTTGTTAATGTTAACCTACGGAATCTGATTCGGTAAAACCTTGAAACCACTGTATGAAATAAGCCGAAAACCGAGCCAGACACCAGGACTTGCAGCTTCAAAATGTTACCAGCCCAAAATGGATTTAACCCTACTATACCAGACAATTGAAAGAAAATAAGTCAGTTTTTAGTGTCGCTGTTTTAGTGATAATATATGTCAACACAGTGCTTTGGCGTTGCGATACGATAGTTTAATGTTCAGACAGTAATTGTCAAGTCGAAATGTAATGCCCAATTTGAAAAACTGATTGAGGATATGGCGAATTTAATCAGATGTATGGAACATGTTATCTGAAAATTTTACCAGACCATCCGGCTGACTAGCTGTATATTTAGACCATCCATCTGAAATCTAGTCGTGTCTCGGCGGTCGGACAGGCCTTGTTTCATATACTGACAGTACCCGCCATGCTGCAGTAGAAACCAAACACACAACCATGTATGGCTGGGTAAAAAGATTGATAATCAGAAAGTTGTCATGGGAAACATACTATAGGACAATGTGCCACCCTGAATATAGGCATTGTTTTCAGGTAATTGGATTTTCGATTAGAATGTGTTGAAAATTATTTACGCCATCTACTTCACTGACAGTTTGATGCATTCAGGCACAGAACTTTTTAGCAAGGCCATTAATGGCATAGATAATATATATTTTCAAGTATTTTTATGTAAGGCCAGATCAATTTTATTTCTTGTTTTTCGGAGTTTTTGTCCTCAGAACCTAAAGGCAGTAGGAAAAATAAAAAAAATAAAAAATCACCAGTCGTAGTAATATGCCTTCTAACTACTAAAATTATTTTACTTTTGGCAATATATGAAGTGTATATGGGGCAAAACACAATTTAATTTTTTTTTTGTAAGTTTACATTTTTGACCAATAAAACATTAGGATTTATTTTTTGAGCAGAAAAAAATTCATTTCTTTTTTTTACGTAAAACAAGAAATAAAATTGGTCTGGTCTAATCATTTCAGCAATATCATAATCATTTTCAATACAGATATATTTTCCTTATTTTACTTCTTACAGCAGTGAAAAATATTATAATTGTTGAAACAGGTTAAGAGCATATGGCGCATACTTAAAGGGAGGTAACTGTTGCATGTTATTTTTCAGATTGTCTCCCCCTTCCCCAGCACAAACTCATAGTTGCATCTTGGCTATACAAACTGTGAGTCACCCTGACTTACTGCATGTTTTGTGACCTAACTTTTGCAAGATCATGACAATAAACTTGAATCTTTAAAAAAGGATTGGAATTTTATGACCATGTGAAATGAAGTATGTCAATTTAGATTATTTCCAATATATTTATATGTTAAATCAAATCATGAAACCCTGTACTTCATCTAAGCAACAATATATAGTTAAAAATGTGCAATGCCACAGGATTATTGAAAAGTTATTTCTTATACCATATGGTCTCTGCTTATACATGTACCTACTTTCAGTCATTCTATTGGCAAGAGAGATGCTTTGCTATATTTCTGTGATACTTGTAGTGCAATCTTTCTCTCTATACAACAACCCGTGAAGGTCCGGGTTAGAATATTGATGTCTGTAACGGGATCGGGTGGTCAGGCTCACTGACTTGCCTGACACATGTCATCTGTTCCCATTGCGCAGATCGATGCTCATGCTGTTAATCACTGGCTTGTCTGGTCCAGACTCGATTATTTACAGACCGCCACAATAGAGCTGGAATGTTGCTGAGTGTGGCGTAAAACTAAACTTACTCACTCAAGTGAATTCTGCAGGAATCTCTGGTCAGGACAGGATTGAAGCCAGCCACATCTTCCTAGACTCGGTAGGTTGATGTGGACATTGCCCAGCAAGTCATGACTCCAGGCTTCCACACGACACCTGAACAACAAGGACAGTTTCATATGATATGCAATATTGACAAACTTAATGGATAACAACTTCTGTTATTTCGTGTGCGACATTCGTATAACAGATTACAGATTCTTGTAACATTGGCAAGAATATGTATTGGAACTCGACTCCAACCAGGCTTTTGGTTGACACATGTCATTATATCCCAATTGTGCAGATCGATGCTGATGCTGTTGATCATTGGATTGTCTAGTCCAGACTTGTACCATTGTCAAGAATCGGCACCGAAACTTTTCTCCCACCAACTGCTACCACATATAAGTATTATTATTGAATTTTTCATATGTTCATTTTTAACAGTATTTTTTGTTTTGTACTTGATACAGTGCTGGGAGTTTACCAGCATGTCTTATGGTGGAAGCTTTCTTTTACCAAATTTAATATTGTAGTTTGTAGTTCAAAATTGAACAACCTTTATGGATAACAATGTCTTTTATTTCATGAGTGACATTTCGATACAAATTCGAAGAATCTGTATCTAAACTCGACTCCCACCAGGTTGACACATGACATCATACCCCAATAGCGTAGATCATGTTGTTGATCATTAGATTGTCTGGTCCAGACTCAAGTATGTGCAGACCTCCGCCAAAAAGCTGGAATATTGCTGAGTGGGACAGTAAACAACAAACCAACCAACTGTAGCAGACCAGTGTATATTATAATACCTCATCGGAGCAGACCAGTGTATATTATAATACCTCATCGGAGCAGACCACTGTATATTATAATACCTCATCGGAGCAGACCAGTGTATATTATAATACCTCATCGGAGCAGACAAGTGTATATTATATACCTCATCGGAGCAGATATGAAATATAATGAGACCGATGAAAGCTGTACAGCATATACAATGTTACTGTGACAAAAGTAATTTCCTTCTTTCGACTGCATAGAACAATTATTTGGCAGTATTCAAGGTAATATCTGCATTTTGGGATGCTAACGAAGAATTACATTTTAGCATATTGGGGAAAATATAGAATTGCTACATATTTACGTGCTAATTGCTAGTCGTAACGATACAGTTGCCAGAAACCATATGGCAGCATTCGGTCAAGGTGACCTGATCGATAGTCCACATTTGTATGGATTATTAAATCTGCAGTATATTGGTTACCATAGTTACGAGCAGCTGTCATTAGGGATTCTTTATGGCACCTTTTGAATCTTGCTCTGTATGTTTTTACAGATCTATAGTTTTGAAATGAATCGGTTGTTTTCTGGGACTTAATGTTTGAGAGTGGGTTTTGAGATTGGGTGGTTGGAGGACACCATCTGTGTCAACACCATTTGTGTCGGCCTTGGAGGTTTTCTAAGGTCACTAACCTCAGCTTAATCCTGGTGTTTTGATTACATTCACTTCCCTGTATATTGATCCTGTTGCACAAACAACATGAGACCAACACTGATCACGGTAGACAACTCGTGATGCAAAATGCCAATATTTTCAGTTGTCTCACCCTTTCCCAGTGTGTCTATCCACGAGTGCACATACAGAGTAACGTTTAGTCTCTGAATATGCATAATTTTGATAGTAATAAATAATCCTATATAAATAGAAAAGGAGCCCCAGTGAGATGGCAAATTCAGAAGAAATCTAAACTTGTGTCATTTAGGACTTCAGCATTGCAGGGAGGGCTAGGCAGTAGGGAAAATAATGTGGTTCGGGGACTGTGAGACAGGCTACATTGCAGGGAGGGCTAGGCAGAAGGAAAAATCATGTGGTTCAGGGACTGAGATACTCTACATTGCAGGGAGGGCGAGGCAGTAGGGAAAAAATGTGGTTCAGGGACTGTGCGACAGACTACATTGCAGGGAGGGCTAAGCAGTAGGGAAAATAATGTGGTTCAGGGACTGTGAGGCGGACTACATTGCAGGGAGGGCGAGGCAGTAGGGGAAATAATGTGGTTCAGGGACTGTGAGACAGACTACATTGCAGGGAGGGCTAGGCAGTAGGGGAAATAATGTGGTTCAGGGACTGTGAGATACTCTACAATGCAGGGAGGGTTCATGGATGGTAAGACAGACTACATTGCAGGGAGGCTAGGTTATAGGGAAAATAATGTGGCTCATGGATTGTAAGACAGACTACATTGCAGGGAAGTGCTAGGCAGTGGGGAAAATAATGTGGCTCAGGAACATGTACGGACATGTGGGATACATACATGTGATATAGACATGTTGTACTGGCTCAGGGACTGTTGTGTCTGCGCAGAGCAGTTGGATGTGAATCTGGGATAATTAATTACATTTAGACAAAATATTAGAATGCAAATGTTGATAATCCATTGATTAATACCAAGATCACATACATTTTTTTTACTGTGACAAAGTGGGGAAGGTATCACCTGAACATGGAGACTGAGACATAGTGTGCGTGGTAGCTTAATGGTAAGAGCTCGGCTTGTCCAGCTGCTGACCCAGGTTTGATTCCCAGCATGGGTAGCAGGTGTTCGATACCACCATCAACATTCAGGCCAGAACTCTGACTGAAACATCATGTTGACACTCATTTATCACTACTTTTCTATCATTTTTAAAACATTTTATCTGTTTCTTCTGAATTTAATCTCAAATCAATCCTGATAGCATTTCTCTTTCTTCGGCCTCATTCTGTAAAATCTGTAACTAAGAGTACAATATTGGTGTCCATGGTTACTAGATCAGGTAATTTCTCATCGGTCTATCATGTCACAGCCCCTGAGAGGCCACAGCAGGGTAGCTGGCAGGGGCAGATACAGCTTTTTGAAAAAAGGGGAGTTCACACTATTGAGGAAATGAGGGGTGCACACTTCATTTTCACCCGAGTGTCAATGGTCATTTAACAAACTTTCACCCCCCTCTGGATCCGCCTATGGCTGGGTGGTAGAAGCACTTGCTTGTCAGGCCAAGTTTGGGTTTCATTCCCTTTCATGGTAACATATATACAGATCTTTCTGGTGTCCTGTGATCAGGCTGACAAAATTTTAAAAGGATGTAAATAATCATCCATAGACAAGGATATCATCATCGAAGCTCTAGTGACATACTGACAAGGAACCAAACAACAGGAAATCATGTAAATTGTTTTTAAAATCAACACTTTCCCCATGCTTGTTGTTTGTTGGCTACATGCCAATATGTTACTTTTTGTTTTTACTTCCCTAACCATGTAATGAAGTTTGCATGCTGCAAGGACAAAAAGGAAGAAAAAATGTGAGGTTGTCTTTGTTTTTGCAAGCAGGACAATATTTTGTTATTCACCATTTGCTCAAGTGCAGGTGTCACTGCCTTTGTCAACATATTGAAGGAAAGTAGAGATTGAAATCTATGTGGTTAAAGTGTTTGTCACACCAAAGACGCTTGCTCGCTCACTCACTCACTCACTTTTCAGTTGAAAAGATTATTGTCATGAGTTCTAGAAATGATAAAACTCAATGAAAATAGGCAAATTATTTACAAAACTTTAACCAAAATGCAACTGTTCACATGCATGATATTTGCCCATGATTTACAGCAATTTGATGCATGATCCTCTTGCAATTCATCTGCATACGGTTTGCAGTTGATTCCCCCTTGTTAATGGAGGAATCAATCTTCGATGTAACCATATATATACATAATATATAGTGAGTGTTTTCAGTGAGTCTAAACTTTTGATGGGAAGTATATTTTTGTGTGTACAACTGTCAACCATCGATTATGGCAAACGTGGCCATCTGTTGCCTGACACTCAAACAATAGAGGATGAACGTAGGTGGAAACTGCTAGAGGGCTTTTGTTCAATGCTCAGAATATTGGAGGCTTTTGTTATGAATTGTCATTCCTCAAAAACATTTGTACCACTTTGTAGTGAGTTATTTTCAAATGTACGATATATTTAGTTATTTATTTTTGACAGTAACCAGTTCAAGTGAGATCTGAAAGAAGAGGAATGACTGACTGACATGATGAACTGACAGAGGAAAATGGTGACTTAGTTTGAGTGAAAATGTTGACTGAATACTACTTGAAGGAAGTATGTGCATATGTCTTCCTGTTTGGGGCTGACTTTAATCTGTCTTTGTTATTGACAACTTAGCTTTCAGAACATTAGATGACTTAATAAAGAGAATGTTAGCGAAGATATATATTTTGTTATGATGAGTTATATTTGAGTTTGAAAGGAAAGAGATGAGATTTAAGGAAATCAGTGATGGTGATGGTTATGGTGATGATGGTATCTCAGTGGGCTAGCACTATAAAACCAGCTTCAGTCTGGGCTAGTACAAGCAGCCGCACATACACATACACACGCATGCATGTCGTCATATGAGCAAAATATTCTCAAGCACGACGTTAAACCCAATTTCACCACCACCACCACCACAAAGGCTACAATTATGACGTGTCCTTACATGTTTTTAGATAAATACTAATGTAATATGACCTTTGATGCTTTTGGATAAATACTAGTGTAAGGTTATAAAAACCAATCTCCCAGACATACTTTTCAACAAAAGTTAGGTCTACATAGTTTCATAAATAGCCTTAATCTGTTTCATATCTATAAAGGTGTCATCACCTTTATTTGAATGACATAATGCTAATACTTCAGTTTAGACTCCCCATACAAGTTCAGATCCACACAAGGCGGTGGGGTAGCCTAATGGTTAAAGCGTTAGCTCGTCACGCCGAAGACGCAGGTTCGAATCCCCACATGGGTACAATGTGTGAAGCCCATTTCTGGTGTCCCCTGCCGTGATGTTGCTGGAATATTGCTATAAGCGGCGTAAAACCAAACTCACTCAGTCAGATGCACACACACGGCTTGTGTGATATGACCATATGCTATGATAACTTAACTGGTAATGATAAGATAACTTACACTAAATAGCACCATAAAATAATGGTGTATTTATATACTACCCATCAAAAGTTTAGACTCACTAGTGTAAATGTAGCCACTTACTTTAGTCAACTGTTCTAAAATAGATTTTGCAAAATATTCCATACTGTTTAATGGTACCATTTACACATGAACTGATGTATTGTAAAACAAATTTGTAACGTTGAAAAGATTATGGTGATGAGTTCAATAAATGATGAAACTCAGTGAAAATTGGCAAATTCTTAACAAAACTTTACACCAAAACACAGCTGTTCACATGCACGGTATTTGCACATGCTTTTCAGCAATTTGATGCATGATCCTTGTACAATTCATCTGCATAAGGTTTGCAGTTGGTTCCCCAAGTTAGGTGAGAAATTCATCTTCGATGGAACCACATATGTACACATAACATAGTGAATGCTTTAAGTGAGTCTAAACTTTTGATGGGTAGTATAGTTTACAGAATTTCCTGAACAGGATGTTTACAGTGACATATGCTGGCCTGTTTCTCTGTGAAGTAGTCGATATCAACAATGCATACATCGATTGGTTAGACTGAATGTCAGATTCGAGGGTCAATGTTATCTTTTAATGTCATGCGTCACAGATCTGCTGGTGGAATCTGAAGCCACACTCATCTCCATGTCTGCTGATTGGCTAGTCTGGGCCAGGAGACTGTTTAATGAATTTCTAATTTACCCAACTCCTGGTCAGATCAGGCGTTCCTGATTTATCTGGCTCGTCACAGTCTGGGTCACAGCTATGGCTTCAGGCTTGAATTGATCATTAATTACATCATTAAGTGACGTGATTTTAGGGTGTTGTAATTCTTGTTGGAGCAAGTTTTTACCTGCGTCAGAGTTCCAGGTGATTAATCATTAAGACTATTTCACTGGTATAGCAATGTACAGGCATGTATGCACATGTGCTTGCATTTCATGGCATGACATTTATATGCATTTTCAGTATTAATTATAGATCCTCAACAAGTGATATGTTGATATTCAAGTACTAGGAAAATACAAATTAAAAATTCAATTCAGTGATAGCTTGTAGATAAAGATTACAAGAACCAGTCTTAAAAAAAGAAAGATTTATGGATGTCAACTTCTTTATTGTGAATAACACGACGTTTCGGGGGGTATGCATGCTCCTTCATCAGGTAAATAGTAGGTAGTATCAGGGGGGTATATATGTATACATATATCAGGCACTACAAAGAAAACATGTTTAACAATGTTGAGGAATGAATATGTAATGCAAATTCATGTTGTTTTATTATATCATTGGCCTCTTCATGTTTGTATTACATATTCATTCCTCAACATTGTTAAACATGTTTTCTTTGTTGTGTCTAATATATGTAAATATCCCCCTCATACTTCCTACCACCCGTGAAGGTCCGTGTTAGAATATTGATCTCTGGTAACCCATGCTTGTCGTAAGAGGCGACTAACAGGTTCGGGTGTTCAGTCTCGCTGACTTGGTTGACACATGTCATCGGTTCCCAATTACGCAAATTGATGCTCATGCTGTTGATCATTGGATTGTCTGGTCCAGATTATTTACAGACCACCGCCTTATAGCTGGAATATTGCTGAGTGTGGTGTAAAGCTAAACTCACTCACTCACTCACTCACTCACCCACCCACTCACCCACTCACCCACTCACCCACCCTTCAAAGATAAGAACCAGTCTCCCAGTAGAACATGCCCCATTTTCTATTTATCTTTTAAAAAGTCTTGTAGATAAATACTAGCTACAGGTATGAAGAACCAATCTCCCAGACACATTATTCAGTAAGACAAAAAATATGTCTTCATTGTAAGCATGTTCATCATGTAAGTTATGTAAATTTATGTTAATTTAGGTTCTTTTTAGATTTAGCCCCCCCTACAAGTGTCTGTTGTAATATCAAAATCGAAACTATGAGCTATATTACAATAGTAACAAAAAAATGTAAATGTATCATTGTGATGAGCTATAGTAAACAAACTAAAGTAATATCAGTATCATGACCTGTCATAAGTACACAGAAAGATAATAAAAGAATGAATAGCAGCTATAGTAAACAAAGAAACTATAGTAATATCACTATCATGAACTGTCATAAGTACACAGAAAAATAATAAAAGAATGAATATTGTAGACAAATATTTTTAAATTAAAAGTGTCACTACCATGAGATGTAGAAAAGGAATACAATAGTTAATGATAACAAACAAATAACGGATAACAGGAGTATTGCCATCACAGACAGATAACAGGAGTATTGCCATCACAGACAGATAACAGGAGCATTGCCATCACAGATGGATAACAGGAGTATTGCCGTCATAGATGGATAACAGGAGTATGGCCGTCACAGACGGATAACAGGAGTATTTGCCGTCACAGACGGATCACAGGAGTATTGCCGTCACAGACAGATAACAGGAGTATTGCCGTCACAGATGGATAACAGGAGTATTGCCGTCACAGACGGATCACAGGAGTATTGCCGTCACAGACGGATAACAGGAGTATTTGCCGTCACAGACGGATCACAGGAGTATTGCCGTCACAGACAGATAACAGGAGTATTGCCGTCACAGATGGATAACAGGAGTATTGCCGTCACAGACGGATCACAGGAGTATTGCCGTCACAGACGGATAACAGGAGTATTTGCCGTCACAGACTGATCAGAGGAGTATTGCCGTCACAGACAGATAACAGGAGTATTGCCGTCACAGATGGATAACAGGAGTATTGCCGTCACAGACAGATAACAGGAGTATTTGCCGTCACAGATGGATAACAGGAGTATTTGCCGTCACAGACGGATAACAGGAGTATTTGCCGTCACAGACGGATAACAGGAGTATTTGCCGTCACAGACGGATAACAGGAGTATCGGCGTCACACGCTATCACAAGCAAAAAGAGAACTGATAGAAGTATATATACATCAATTTATGTCAATTTAGGCTCTTTTAGATTTAGGTCCCCATACAAGTATGTCTGTTGTAATATCAAAATCGCTGCCCTAGGCTGCAGTACAAATAATAAATGTATCATTGTCTTGAACTATAGTAAACTTAGTAATACTACAAGTATCACAGCCATGAGCTGCTTTAAAAAAATATTAAGTATCCCCTTTTCGCTATAAGCACTGAATTTGTCTTCATGATCCCCGCCGTGCGTTTAGCGCGAAGCGAGGGATATAGTATTAGGCTCCGTTCGTACGTACGTCCGATTTGGAATATCTTAAGAACCATGTACTGGATTTTTTTCATATTTGGTACCTAGGTTCATCAAAGTAACAGGAAGGTACCAGTCAGATTTTGGTGACCTTGACCTTCATTTCAAGGTCACAAGGGTACTTTAACGTTTTACCCTTGTCAGCAAGATATCTCAAGAACCGTTCACTGGATTTTCTTCATATACAACACCAACCTTTATCTAGGGAAGGCACAGGGCCCAGTCGATTATGGTGACCTTCACCTAATGTTCAAGATTTCAGCATGTTAACCTGCATGTAAAGATTGTCAACGAGATATCTCAAGAACAGTTCACTGGATTTTCTTCATAGACTTTCAAGACTTCCCTTGAATGTTTTGCAATAAGCAATTTCTTTATTACTATTTTTGCATATTTCATACACTAAGACATTCATGTCAAGGTCAATGTGAGTCTTAAAAATATTTGTGTGTTTGACCAACTACAGAGCAAGATTTTAAGAAAGGTTGACTGGTCACGTTTTTGTTGACATTTAACTTTACCTTAAATTTCAACCTTCACTTTCATTACTTTTTAAGTTTGACTTGATAACTTGCGGCGGGGATTGTGTCACCTTAGTGACAATGCTTGTTAATCATTTTTTGGGGGTTGCTCGGTGATCTATCCATACTGCAAGTCTAAAATGAAACACCCTTCACCAACGTTTATTTCTTCAAATTGTAAATGACACAATCAAAGTAGAATATGCATTTGCATAAAAAATGTATGGTTAAGTTTGACAGAATGTGACCTCACTAGCCTTGCTCCAAGGCTATGCTGAAAACTAATGGATGTACATGTATAGCAATTCTATCATGTAAAGAGGCAAGACGAGATTAGGGGACGCCAGTCAAGTCAAGTCAAAGATGTTTATTGTACAAGAGGCCTCCGGCCCATATACATTGGAGTTACACATAGACAATGAACATGTGTTGCAATAAATAGTAATTTGTGTACCAAACACCGAGTC